ACTGCTAGTCTCCTGCTAGCTTCCCGATCTACCTCCTGCAGCTCAATCTGTTGTCCAATACAACCTCTCGGTATCTAGCTGATTGTATCACCAAGTGAAATTTCAAGAACCTCCTGTTTTTGTCGAGTTCCTGAACTTGTCGTCCACCTCTCTCAATCTCCCAATGAGAGAGTCCCTTCCTCAACAAATGAAGAAGTCCAGGTGTTTTTTCCTTCACAAATAGTGATGTTTTCCCCAACATTGGATTACCTGAATCACAAGGTGTTTATAGATTAATTCTTTGTTCAGTTCTGCTTTGGATCACTTGAGAGAATATTGAAGATGATATCTATGTAAAGCACAATATGGCAATCTCTTTCACGTTCACGGCCTTTGTATTTATAGTTGGGGGCAAATAGGAGTCCTAGGCAGTGTCAAACTTTTCAGAAATCGAAAATACGATTTTCCATATGACATTGTCACTCGAGCGAAAAGCGAGCGACGCTACTTTGCTCGAGCGAACATCGAGCGACGAGCGAGTGACGACCATTCTGCTTCCTCTCGCTCGAGCGGTGACAGGGCGAATAACTAGCGAACTTTCGGCGCCGCGACCTTGATTTAAACCAAACACTCAAACCCTAGTCCCTACCATCTAGCTTTGCTAAATTGTACCCTAAGTCCCTAACTTTTATAACATTGTACAATTGAGTCCCTGACTTTTACAAATTTTACAATTTAGTCATTTTGTCCACAGAATCGCCAATTACACCTTTAGACCTAACAAAAACGACACCTAACCTTTTCATCGATATCATGCCGTTTTGGGTCACGAGCCTTGATTTTACTCTAAAACGAATTGATAAGACTTGGAACATTTTAGACAACTTACACAAGTTAAACGAGTCAACTTATTGAATATCTTATCTCATAATTAGAATATAATAGAATTTACTTACTTTCGTTCATAATTAAATCTAATACAATTTACTCATAGAACGATAGTGTTGGTCATTATCGTGTGAATTTTATGCCGATACTTGGGACAAATATAATGAAAACTTCCATTAGTTCATTTTCATGTGCATACAAATGAAAATAAAGTGAAGCGGATACGAAATTAGTAGAAACGAAACCTAAACATTTAAAACGGCATCATGACATTTTGAATTATAGGGTCTTGATTTCACTCCAAAATGAATCGATCATGTCTTGGAACATCATATAAGACTGACACAATTTAAACGAGCTAATTTGTGGAGTATTTTATCTCATAATTGGAATTTAAATTATTTAGCCTTTTAAAGACATCATTTTTTTGGATGACGGGGCCTTAATTTACTATAAAACGAGTTGATCAGACTTGGAACATCTTAAAAGACTTGTACAAGTTAAACGAGGCAATTTATTGAATATCTTATCTCATAATTAGAATATAATCGGAATTAACTTACTCACATTTTTAATTATATCTAATTCAATTTATTCACAAAACAATAATATTGATCATTATCCTGTAAACTTTAAATCGTTACTCGGGTCCAAATGTAACGAAAACTTCCACTTGTCCATTGTCATATGCATACGTGTAAAAATAAAGTGAAGCAGATACAAAATTAGTTAAAACGACACCCAATCATTCAAAAACAGCAGCATGACATTTTGGATTATGGGATCTCGATTTCACTATAAATTAGTGAAAATTTGTTTACTTTAGTTAAAATGTCATCAAATGGTTTATAATGATAGCATGTCGTTTTAGATCACAGACACTAAATAACATTCGAAATATAGTTAAAACTTGTTTTAATTAATTTTTATGTAGATACAAAGTGATACAAATATAAAATTAGTTAAAACGGCATTCAATCGTTTAAAAGGCAATATGCCATTTTTCTCATGGGTTTTAAATTGTGTACGAAAAGTTAGAATGAAAATGGGGATTTAAGTTTGGGGGATTTGATAAATTTTTGTTTCAAATTGAATATTTTAGATATTTTAAATGAAGGGTGTTTAAAACTTTTAACACATGACAAAATAGACTAAAGGCTAATTAATCAAAAAGTATTGACCATAGCCTATTTTACTAAACATTATTATTGACTAGGCTTTTTAAACAAATCCCCCTATCTTTTATTTTCTTATTATTTTTAATGTTTTTCCCATTTTTTTCATTTTCATTTTCTTTTTATTTGAAGTTAAGGGTGATAATATCCTTTTATAGCATTTTAAAAGAATATTTTGATGAAGACTGCCAATAGAGATGATTTGAGCGAATTGAATAAAGATTCGGAATAGGAGGGGAATAACGATTAATGAATATGAAATTTCTATAAAATGGAAAGGTTGGGGACTCAGAGAGAAATTTTCCCTTTGTGCATTTTAAGTTATGGATAAAAATGTCTTTTGCACAACTTTATTGAAAAACTTTTGATGGATTTTTGTTAGAGATGACTATTTGTGTGAATTATTTAAAGTTGAAATGATAGGTGCTATTAAAATTTATTGAAGATAAAATTGAAAAAAATGAAAAAGATCCATAGCAACCATTTACTCTCTTTATTTATCTATTTTAAATCAAAGCAATAAAATGATCGTTTCATTCAAAAATTAATTTATGTACTTCAAAATGATGGTTTTTCATCACAAAAAGAACTTGAAGCAAAAGCTTGAAAGATTTGGAACTTCGAGTTCTAGAAATCAAATGTTCGATACTTCACATCGTCACTGGAATAATCAAATTAGAGCTCAGACAATTTCATCCATGAAATTTATTTTTTTATCATGAGACTTTTAATAGTTTAAAGATAAAATTAAAAGTAAATATATTTGAATAATACTTAAGATTAGGTTGATTAAATTTTATAAAGTTTTTTAAAAGATGGATTTAGAAAATAATTGTCGTATTTAAAACCTCAAAAATTGTTTTAAAAAATAATTATTAAAAAAAAAAAAAAAAAAACTCTCTAAAAACTTATGGGCAATTTCGGTAACTAAAATTTCATCACCTTCGTAGGGTTTTAAAGCCCCAACCCTGATTTCTTTCATTTCGTCTCAAGCCGTCAGAACGAAACCCTACAAGCCCCATCTTCTCCTCTTCTCTTAGGTAAATTCACAATATTATTAGTTACTTCCAATCTTCACATGCTTATATGTCTACATGTTGATATGCTGTGTTGGATTTTTTTTTCAGCTCAATTTAAGGTTGTGGTGAAAATGGCGACCGTGCCAGGACAGTTGATTTGGGAGATTGTGAAGAAAAACAACTCCTTTTTGGTGAAGGAGTTTGGAAATGGAACTGCCGGTGTCGTTTTCAGCAAGGAGCCAAACAATCTTTACAACCTTCACTCGTATAAGCACTCTGGTTAGTATACTCGATTCCTTCTTATTATCCATTAATACCCGTTTACAGTTCTGAATTTCTCTGTTTTTTATGTTGAATAATCGGTTGTGGTTTTAGATCCGTGTTCAGTTTGTTTGCCTTGTGAATGTGTGAAATTATACCCATTTTGGTTCTATTTTTGCTTATACTTGTTTCTAAAAAATGAAATTACAGTGGTGTAATATGATGTTTGTTAAGGTGTTTATTATATATGAAATTATTACTCTGCAAATGTATTTACTGGTTTGCCATTTCCTCGTTCAATAAACCATTTGAAACTGAAGCGTTTTGTTGTGTAGAATTACAATTTCTGCAAGGCAATGTTTGGTGAGGAAGAAAATTTTCCGTATGGGTTCTGTTTGATTATATAGGAAATGTTGGTTAATGCTCAAATGTATTTTAGCATTTTTATCCTGTGTTAGTTAATGCTTGTTTAATTTGCTTTCCTTAAAGGAAAAAATGAATCAGGAAATTATATGTTGATTATAATCTTTGAAATGGGAATTACCATTCATTTGAATATTTTTTTTTCCATTCTAATGATCTAGATGGAGATGATACAGACTGCTTTATGTTGTTCAGATACACATACAGAAAATTCATTGTGCATAATAATGAATGTTGTTCTGTTAGGGTTGGCAAACAAGAAGACTGTCACCATTCAAGCAGGCAAAGATCAGTCAGTGTTGCTTGCGACAACAAAGACCAAGAAACAGAACAAGCCTGCCAGTTTGTTAAACAAGTCCGTCATGAAGAAAGAGTTTAGCCGTATGGCCAAGGCTGTTTCAAACCAGGTATCAGTTTCACTCATCTGCCTCAGTAGATACTGTGTTTTTTTATTTTTAATTAGGAACTGGCATTAGAATGACTATGAAATGATTAATTTGTTTTTAACATGTGAATTCCAAGCATTAGGTTCGTGATCCTTAAAATTTAACTCCAATGTTTGTTTTACTTTCTGCACATGCTTTATTCCACTAAATTTAACATTTTAAGCCTGTGCCTAATGAACTCATCCTCTTCACTATCTAATACAATAATTGGAATTTATGGGATACACGTTAGTATGGATGTGTGGGTACAATAATCCCCCCTTTCTTTCTTGTACCAAGTATAGCCTGTACCTATCAGATGCTGTGTATCCCCTCCTATATTGACTTGCCTTAAATTTTGGGTACACGTTGGCGAGTTACTCTTTTTCATTTGACGAAATTGTTGCATCTGATCCCCAGTTAGTTTTACATTGTTTCAGTTATAGTTAACTTTTCCAACTGATTGATTTTTATTTTTTTATTTTTTTTATACCTACTCATCAGTTTTGTTCGATTATAATTGTATTATTTGAGAGTGATGGGTGATTGAAACCTTTTAAAATGTAGGTGGCTGATAACTATTACAGGCCCGATCTGAAGAAAGCAGCTCTTGCAAGGTTGAGTGCTGTGAACAGGAGCCTTAAGGTTGCCAAATCTGGTCCTAAGAAGAAGAACAGGCAGGCTGTTAAGATCCCTGGTAGAAAGTGAAGCCGCCAACGAATTGCCTCGAACTGCTATGCTTTTTTGCGTTCACACCGAGTTCCAGAAGTTTTAACTATTTCCAATTGTTTTTTGAACTATCTTATTAGTCTGATTGATAATGCTATCTAAATTTTGGATCAAAACCGACATTAATTTCCCGCATGCTTGTTTTTCTTTTACGGATTCAGCGAGTTACAGATGGGTTTTTGTTTCTACACTGTTGATATTTGTGTCCGGCATCTCTCTCAGTTGTGCAAAGAAAACCTGCAAAGAGCAAGAGGAATCAGTTGGCATGAATTTGACCACCCATTGATTACGAGTCTTGAATCCACCACTGGATGATGCAATTTCCAACTACTACGAGTGTAATCCCTTGGACAGATTTCCATTTTAAGATGTATCAAATGTTTTCAATTTTCTGAGCAATCTTAATTATTTGATTTGCAAATAAGAGTGGAGTAATGACTCTGCTAAATTTAAATGAAGAAGCAAATAAAATCCATTGCTTGCTACAAAGAACTTTTATTACTGACTATTTATTCTTCTAAGCGATTTCAAAATACTGAAACAGCAAATGTTTGAAACAGTTTAGACTTGCATATCTATATCTACGACCTACAAAAGGAGCAATTCAAGAAGCTGAACCCAATCGACCCTAAACTATAAAATTTCATGTTATATATAGCAACTCCACAGAATCATATATTGTACAGAATGTTGGACGCTAGTCATTTTGCTCGTAGATCAGCCCCATATAGACGAAAGCATGTATCAGTAATTACAGCGCAACTGTGGACAAGCAGTTTCTGGAGTGCATGAACACTCGCATTTTTTGACAAATAGCCTATGCACAACCTGCTGGCAATTGTCAAGAACGAAGAAATGACTGCCTCTGAAATCCAGAGCGTATGAAAGAAAATTAGATCACGGATATCTTTGCAAAGAGAAATAATATCAATGCTGCAATTTTCAACTAATAGTAATGAAAGTATAAATCTCTATTTTCTGGCATTATCTTCGATTTTTTTACACCTATTTGAGCCGTCTATGCGAGTTATTTGCTAGAGCACTTATTAGAGATACCCCAAAAATTCTTCAACCAAATTACAAGTTGTCCTTAAAATCAAATTCAGGCCAGTTTATGTATATTTGTTTTTCTTCCTTCATCAGCCTTTGACATATTCCCTTTGCTCCAGATTCACTGAATACCTAAACCCCCATCACCTTTACTGGAGAACTCTAGTATCTTTTCACCAATATTCAAAAACTTCTCCATTGCTCTTAGTGCTGGTCGAATTATAGGGAAAACAGCATGGAATCTAAGTTTTCTTTTCAGCTTGCCCATGTGACTGCGATATTTTTTCCATGACCACAATGCACTCAGCTACTTAAAGGCGAAAAAGATAAATGCGTCTAATCTTTCCACATTTCCACTATTTCTTCCATTTCTCTGTATTACTCTTTAGAAGGCATTATCATATTCCTCACTTAGACTGGAGATAGTGATGTACATCAGCTTCGCTTCGTGCAAGGACCAAGCTATGCAATAAGCTATTTCAACGTCTGATTCTAAATAACCTGACTAAACACATTTTTATCCCTCTTTATTTTCTTCACTTCGATTTTCTCTATATTTCTTCTATTGTTACTTTTAGTAATACGGGAGACCCTGTTTTCAGTAGATGATCCAAATTAGTATCAGCATAATGAACACAGCTATTATTTGCAAAACTTTAACAAAGATGTACGAAATCTGCTTATTCACACAAATACAACTCCCATGAACTTCATGGCATCATGTGGGGGTAAAGTTATATTCGGGACTCTCTTTCTGATAGCCAAAATCTGTTGCAGCTTTAAGTGCTTTTTAATAGGTCTGCTTCATTACTTCCTGTCATTACAAATGAAATGGAATATACATCATTTTTTTGCATACAATAAATATGAATCTTGTAAATGAAAATAAAAACTCAAAACACCAAAAACAATGATCACTAACTACTTTTTTCTTTACGAAATAACTAACCTACACAAACATGTATAGGAACAAGAAGTAAATGCAAGTTACCAATTTGATAAGGAGTAGAACACAGCCAATAGATCATTTACAACAGCTTATGGCTACTATTATAATTTTTTTCATGAATTTTAGATGAGAAAGTCTTAAACTAGGACTGGGCGTGGTTTGGACAACCGAACTGGACCCAAAATTTTCAAGTATTTATTAAGTGGAATCGTCGGATCCAAATTTAATTTTGAAATCGTTCGAGTTCGGTTTCCAAGTTTCGTAATATAATTAATTTTTTTTAATATTTACTAAGAACTTGTTTGATACAGCTTTTAAACCAATTAAAATCAATTTTTTGACCGTTATTTCATTATTCCAACTGTCATTTTTGAATTCTTCTCTCACAGTTAAAACCCATTTTATCTCTAACGGTCAAAAAATCAATTATCAAAATCCCTACCAAACAAACATTAAGTTACATTAATTCAACCAACGACATATTAAATTTTAGCTCTTACAAAATAATGTAGTACAATCTTATATATCTTTTGTGTCTCTCTTTGCTGAGTTTTCCATAGATTTGATTGTTAAAATCACAGGAAGAGAAAGATAGCGAGGTTACAATAATTAAGAAAGGCGCTATCGAGCTTCAATTCGATTTTTTCAAAACGGTAGAAATAACATTACGATAAAATAACAGATTTGAGTAAAACTTAGGTCAATTTGATTAAGTTGGGTTGGAGCTGAAAATTAGAAATAGGAAAATCATATTTTTGAGTTTGATCTAAATTAACTAGCTAGCAAATTTATTTAGAAAAAATAGAATAATTTGACTTTTAAAAATAAATAAATTAGAAAAGTTAGAGAGATTCGATTTTTCGATTTTTGATCTAGAATCGAGAATTGAACCGACCCTATCAGTTCTCGATTTAGATATCCGTTCGGATATTTGATTTAAGAAGAACTGCTCGGTTCGGTTCGGGAATTTTGCGCAATCCTATCTTTAAAAAACTGAAGACCACTTTTTTGTAGCCCACGTCCTAGCGCTCGCCGATGATTGAAACAAATGGAAAATCTATAACTAAATATTAGAATTAGAGAAAGGCACTCTCACCTGTAGTTTAGATTCAAAATCTTCCGGAGGTCGGTTCAAATTAGACTCCTTTAGCTAAAGTTTACCAGTTACAACCTGCAACAATAGTAATTTTTTGGAGAATGTTTAGGTGAAAAGTAGAAAAAAATTAGGTTTACATGCAGAATATTTTATTATGAGAATGTGTTCGAAAATGAGTTTTGAAAAAAAGAAAAAAAAAAGAGTTCGCATTAATGGTTGTCAAAGAGGGGCTGAATAAAAATCTTTAGCCTATAGATTGATCAGCGATATATAAATCTTTTGTTTAGCATTCCCTTCAATCTTACATGTATATCATATTCTTGAATCAACCCTCGAATGGTATAATATCAATGCCCAACAAGATCAGACAACATTCATCCAAACTCAATTCAGTGATACAAATCAATGTTCTATATTTGCTTTACTAATTTTCTGATACAAAAATTTCAGAAAGTAGAGACTATTATACACCCCCTCTGTCCCAAAGAGGCTAACTGGTCGAAGAGTCACAATAAATACCGTCTGCACCATTTTTAATCATCGACCTACAAATGAAGACATACAAAACCAATGAAGCGGAAGGAGGGACTTGAACCCTCAACCTCAGCCTTGGCAAGGCCGATCGTATGAAGTGCACGTCCTTCTAACAGGGAAGATAATATATAAGAATAAAAAACAAAGTAAACCCAGTTTTGGACATTACCTTCTTCAACAACCTGAGTTTATTAAGTTGATGGCATCAGATTGGTCAATTTCATCTTGGGAGGCACAAGGAAATGCGACATCACACCTTTCATTCCAAGGCTTTGCATCATCTTAGTACTTTGAGCGAGCATAAGTTTTTGAGTAGTCTCTGCAAATGTTACTTAAAGATAATTCAAAGATCATTCCTCTAATCAAATATAACACATCCATCAATAATTCTTGAAAGAAAAATAAAAGAAACTTTTAATTGTGAGGTCGCAGATGGTTGTGTATTTCTCCATTACATTCTATTATTACACAGAGCTTACCTCCAATGAATTTAACCATAACTGAAATCAATATTTACAATTCTTTATTCATGTCTGCGAGTATCAGTTGTGCAAAGAAAACCTGCAAAGTGCAAGAGGAATCAGTTGCATGAATCACAAGGGGCCACAAGAAAGACAGTCATCCGAAATTTTACCACTATATGATATGCAAACAGATACACTACAATCAAGATGTTGCAGAGTAATAAACTAACACCCATACAAATAAATTGTTACAGGAACACACACAAAGACAAGAAGAGAGAGGAAAGGTAGTGATAGTAATTTAGTCACCAATCCATAGCCAGTAGCCTCAGTCTGAAGGCTGGAGCCAGACCAGTTCACTCTCGGCCCCGTAAGACTTCGCTGCATAATGAGTAAGGCGTGCATATGGATTCTGCTAAAATTAACACTAGGATTTATCACTTTGTCATAGTATCTTGAAAGGATAGCACGGGAACGTTCATAATTAAATATCACGAAAACACTACTTATGCTTAGCGTCTACAAAGAATATGTACATTATGAAACTTAGAAATTATGTTAAATCCTATCCAAAATATATGCACATTCTATGTTTACATTGCAAAACAACCAGCATCAACATACATCAGTACAAGAACATAAAATAATTTTTACTAAAACCTCATATTAATAAATCAAGTTTATAGGAAATGTACCATAAACAAATTAATCCGTATTATTTGTGATAGACTACCATCATGGCCTGGCTCATTGCAGAACCAAGAGCAATAGCCAAGTCTTCAAGAGGTCAATCATTTCATTCCAAAGGCATAGTGTGTTTTGTTGGAAAAAAAAATGGTTCAATGGGTCAACTTTGAGCCCAATTTTTAGTGGGACCCACCTTTTAAATAATACGGGACCTAGCATATTCACGTTCTACTCCGCGAGATGATTAATGTGATATATTTATTTATCGAAAACCATTTAAAATTGAATGAAATATTAAGTGTTAAAGTAACCCACATAAACTAAGGATTATGGAAGAATTTGATTTGCCAAACACTTATCCCACATAGGAAAGTTAGGAAACTTTGGTGTGATTTATAAGGTGGAAGTTTGGAATTGGGTTTGGGCCCCAAGGGGTACCAATAGTCTTTGGAAGGGGAAAGACCTATATCCTATTGGGTTCGATCATAAACCCACACGCGCGCGCCGCCGTCCGACCGGCTCGGCACGTGCCCGAGCCCCTATATTAACTTTTTGGACAAAATTTATTTAAAATTTTGGGCCAAATTGTAAATAATCAAATTCTTGGGTACAAAATGAAATTTAAATT